TCAAATAAAAAAAAAGATACCGAAAAAAAACTCCGTGTATAGGATTGGCGTCGTGATACACGCTTTATCTAACTACACGAGCTATCAAGACTTTTATGTCATAATTCATTTCATTAACTGCGTTTTGATGAATATAGGCCTTTTATTATCAACAAGATTATATCTACATTAAAAATTCTTTTTAAAACACTTTCATGTCAAGATACTTAAAAGTTGAGTACCAAAATGCGGTGATATTTCTTAAGAGGGCGTTAAATAAAGCCACTTCTTAATCATACAGGGAGGTCCCGGGTTCATTTTCCTGTGTTGACCGAGAAAGTTCCTCGGATTTTCCGCCGTGGTTTAACCTTGTGTATGCTGCAGGACGGAGACCAAGGTACCGTTTAAACATTTGCGTGCACTTAAAAAAAAAAAGCACTGGCCAGTTGGAATTCGAAATATGAAAAGCAGAATAATATACCATTCGTACACATCTAATCTCGATAATCCCGTATAACTTAATCTCTAATGGATGCTGGGGCGGTACAGTGTTTATAATAAATGTAGATCAAACTTAATTCATTGTTTTTCTGCAGCCCGGATGATACTTAATTACGCACAGTATAGCGCGAGCTTTTGGAATGTGGTGGATGTGGTTTCCACAATTTGTCTTGTCTTAGAAATTTGTTGGTTTAACCAAACACGCTGTTTTAATTGCCTCCCTTTAAAAATGACGCCATAACGCGTCCGCCGTCTAGGCGGCGTCTCGTCACAGCAGGAAATGACGTCAAATTGAATTTTGTCATTCCAGATAATACGAAACATACCTAAGCATGGTCTTTTGAATTCTCAGTTGGTTTTGAGTAGGGTAATTTGTCAATAAGATAAATAAAAGGATAGCTAAGTTGGCGGCTTGAAATACCGCTTCGCGCCATTTGGCATAGACCCCTGGTGGTTTATTAGCTATTTAAGATAGCTCAACTATTTCACTTATCCACTTTATTAGTCGGTTGATGAAGCCTGGTTTACAAGCGATGTTGATAAGAACGAGATTTTAACTGGGCCTAATTCTCCTTGTAACACATACCTGGACTTTTTTACATTAAATACTCGGCTAATTTTACTATAAACTGTGAATAGTGAGACTCGTCACCTATAAATGTACGATTAGGTGAAAATAACAACAAATAATTTGTGACTCAAGTTAATTAGACATGTTCACACATTTGTGATAGTGAAGACGTGTTTATGTTCTTAAAAGGGACGGGTGGGTTCGATTGCAAGTATACAATTATTTAAAGGGGTGAGAACTCACGTTAAAATCTACTGCACCTCTTTCCCAAATCCGCCATTTTCTTTCCCCTTTCAATAGAGACGCTCATCTCATCATAATCCTAAAACTCCATTGGTAGACAGGTTGTTTTGTCCATGATTACTAACTATAGCTTGCTGATTCAAACCTCTTGGTTGTCCAGTGAATAACAGATGTATGTAGGTATTAAGTACAGAATTACATCTAACTTGCAACAGAGTTAACAATAACGATCACAAATCGTAGCCCCTTCTGGCATACTGGAATGGAGATTTGGTCATAAATTATACCTTGATCAAAAAGAAGTTAAGAATTTCATCTGGACGCCATTAGCGTTAACGAATGAGAATTAATTATTAAACGTTTAGGGATATTTCTGGAAACAACTTAGTGGACTGCTTCCATGCAAATTTTATGTAGGTAGTTTTAATCTATTATTGTTAAGGGTGCTTGCAGATAGGTAGAAAGTAAAGAATTCCATCTAACATTGACATTAAAGTCAATCATGGCGCCGCTATATATAAACACTTGTTGATGTATGTATTTTAAATAGAGTTCCTCCACTTGTCTTCAAAGAAACGCGTTATAGCCTATTCACCTTTATTGGACGCCCGAGACTACCATTTCCTTGCATTCTTAATTCACTCTCTAGAACCTACTAGACTTTTACCTTGAATAAAATACCTATCAAGGGTAAACAAATATTAAAGGGGCTCGACCTCTCGGATATAGGAAAAACAAAGTATTGAATGCGGTGATCTGATATGTTGCCTGGGATAGTGGTGAGACAATCTCTATATGATTTAATTTCTGTTTGGAAGAACTAAGCGAAAGTTGGTTTGTTACTGTTTTTATGGTTTCATTTGTTTGGCTTACTGTACATGTGTCGACTGAAGGAGAGAAATGGCGTTTTACGTCCACTCAACAAAACCTAGGTCAGTTCGGGACTAAGTTATGACTAACAGCTTGTGCTAGGGGGCTTAGCAGTCTTTGGAAACCAGAGGCGGAGGACTCAAAGAAAACCCACGAGGTTGGGTAGCCACATCCAACCTTGGGACCGAAACCACACCCGTTAAGTCAATGACATACCTTATGGTCAAATGCGCTCACGTTAGACCACTCGACCCTACGCAGTCCCGCTCAGATATGTCCCTTATTTCGAATTCCAAATATCAAGGGTTTTTTTATGTACACGCCAAAGTATAGATGGAACCCCGGATTTTGGTCCCACCCGAACGACTAGACTGTTTGTGCCAGACCCCCGTCCTGCGACACTGACAAGGGGAGACCACCCTTGAAAATCCAGGAGCACGGGATCGAACCCGTCGCTTGTAAGCCAGCGCCATACTCACTGAACCACCGTGGCCCATAATCTGTTTTGATTTTGTTGGATTCGCCAACTGGACTTCGTATTTAGATCACTTGGCCACCCAACTCCACAATTTACATTTTCACTTTCAATTGTTACCTACAAAAGACCTATACTGTAGGTCGAGGACTTCGACCGCCCACCACTTGCTAAAATGTGATATTTTAATATTGTTTGAAACAAATTTTAATTTACTAGTAACCCGCTTGACATTTGTAAATTCTTTAAAAGTTGACGGTTTTTAAAGTTTATGACATTTTCCTTTCTATAATTAAAGTATCCCCTAGAAGGGACAAAGAGAAAGACTGACTTTAGAATAAAATATCTTTTGTTTATTTTGGCGGTTGTTTGTTGCCTCGGCAAGGAGATAAAAAAATTGTACAATCTTAAATCCCAGCCGATACTATAATCGAACATGTCCAAAATTCAACAAAGGACAACTGTCCGGTTGGAAAAATTGTCGCCATTTTTTTAAATATAGTAGAAATAGTTCTTGTCACTGATAATCTGCTGAGCTAAACTCTGATATCTCGTCAATAAAATGCTTTATTTGATGGGGCCTTAAGCCAATGCAAATATTGGAATAAAGCGTTCTAAATTTGGTCTTTATTGATATTCCGTGTACCTATAATTATCGATATAAAGATATTTCTGAGCGACTCTTTTATATTAACAGCAGTAAAACGATATTAAATCGGTGAATACATTGCCTTAACACAAATTTATTAACATAATCACTAAGCGTATGGTTTTATTTAGCTTAAAGGCGATATTGAAATATTAAGAAGTACCATTAATTTACAGGCGCATACATGTAGGTGGCGAAGGGTAATACCTTTTTAAAGCTTGGAGATCGAAGTCGGATTAAAATTATACCCAGAATTCGTTCCGCTTACTTTCGGTGATTTACTTCATTTCATCTTAATCTGAAGGTGTTTCTTTTCAGACATGTTCAGTAATACATCAACTGCAGACAAGCCTACTATTTCAATGCAAAGATTATAATAATTATGTACTGTCCTAAAATAATCAGTGGTCCGGGGTTACGATCTATCCAACTGCTTCGGCTTCTGAAATCCAAGTTCTGTCATTTTTATACGCCCACAATTAACGTGGATATATACTGTAATCACCCATTTCCGTCGTCGGTCTTTACGTCAACAATTTTTGTTGTTACCACTCTTTATAAACTTGTATGAGGAATTGGCTGGCATAGAAGAAAATGACAGAATTATGTGACAATAGAAACTTAATGGCCATAACATAAGTTATAATTGATCGATTTAGATATTGTTTCGACCAAAATGTTTTGAAATAAAAGAACCTTTGGTTGCTTATGGTCGTAAAGACTTCATTAACTTGACATGTTGCATCTTTAATAAACTATGTAACAGCTCATCTTTGTATGAAAAAAAAGAGTTTCTTGGTCGTAAGTCTGAATTTAAAGACATACAAGATTGCTCCTGAAGAGGTTCATCGATTTGTGTTGTAAGTTTTATAGCCCGTCTTGATTTACTGGAATCTGTTTCTAACTGATAACATATCACAGATCGTATAGTAGTCAGATCATTATAAAATATTTCCTTCAGTGGTTCCTTATTGACAGACAGGCTACAGTAATACATCATACCCATGATAACATTCACTTCTCACTACCGCCAATTCGTCCTTAAACGATTCCCCGATAAAATGTATCATTCAATCAACAATCAAAAAGTAATTAATTCTATTCTTATAAATTATACAATTATTGTGGGGGTTTGAAAATCAGAATGTGCTCTTATTTCTGTTTCGTTTTTATGTTGATAACTTTTATCCTACAGTACAATCTAATGATACCCTGTACGTGTTTATCTTCAACCGACTCATAGCCAATTACGAGGGGCTTGGATAAGAATAGTATTAACCAATCACAATCTTGTAATCATGACTTTCGAATAGAACAGAAAAGTAATAGGAATATACACATAGTTACATCTCTATAAAATGCAGACTAGACAAATATTTAAATAGAAAAAATAAAGATCTATTCAGGCTGTGTTATGTACGAGAATTCGATGAGTTTATAAATAGACCATTGGTCGATGTCTTGGTGTGATTGGAAGTTCAGCATTTTTATTGGCTGTTCACGGTACACAAATACGAACATGACACGGTAATAAAACGGTTCAGATGTTAAGATAAACTTGAGTCCTGTAAATTGGAAAACAACATAGATAGGACACTTAGATACACATTTCCAAGATAAACTTTAATTTAAATGCTCTAAGCAAATAATTGTATTTTGGATTTGTGTATTACCGCCATCTTATTAATTGTAATGTTTTAACTTTGTTCCAGGAATCGGTAACGAGGCCCTCCATGGATCCCAAAGGTAGCTGGTTTCAGTTCGTTCGACATTCAGATAGAGACAACAGACGTAATTCACGTAAAAAGTGCAAGAACAAGGGACGATCTCTGGCGGGCTCTAAGGTAACGCGGGGTAATTTTGATACTAAGGTAACTTTGACATATAAATATAGTAAGGGTGTTTGCTACTAACACATAACAATACAATGTAGTCCAATTAAACTTAACTGGCAACAACGTTTCAAAAGTACGATGGGTTTCCTATTTCGTAATGTTCGCCTCAAAGATAAAATGAAGAGAATTTGATTTTAACATGAACAGAAACAAGTGGTAAGACCAGAATTGTCCTTCACTTTAAAAGTTTCTTTCAACAAAATTTGCCCAAATATTTGTTTATTCTAATTTTTCAAAAGGGGGTAGAAAAAGATGAACAAGTTAGATTTTATTTCATCTTAGAGAATTCCAAAATTAATTGGAACTTTCTAGAAACTACACTAAATTAAAGAGACGGACGGAATCAGAGCTAACAATTGTTTTGACATACCAAAAACTCCAACAAAACTGACCAATTACCATCGCCATTGTTAAACTTGGGTACACCGTATCTGGTGATGTTGATGACGTCACTATTCTTGAACAGCAACACCTAAAATTATATCTAAAAATATATGATACATCTTCTTTTATATTGTTACTTATATAAAGTACGATTGTACAGCGAGATTTTTTTTAAAACATTGACAGTTGTTTTTCTATTTCAGCGCACACAATCAGGTCCACCGGGACCCCCGGGTCCACCAGGACCCCCGGGACCAGCAGGTGCTGCCATAACCAAAGAAGAATTAATGAAAGAATTTAGAGAAATGGTTAAAGGTAGGTGTTTATTTAATCACCGGCTTTCGCTTTTTATCAGTGTAGGATTTCGTACCGCATTTACCCAGAACGCCCATCGCATTTGGTCTACTTTGACCAATAGGTTCATTGGATTTTATTCGTGACTACCAGAATCGATTCTTGTGTAATACATTTGTCTTAGTGGATAGCGATTTGGACTGACTGTAGGTCCATATCTTAAAGGGACTAAATCTCTAATTATTGGGACCTAGAAATTGACACAAATGAGTCGCAACGCAAATAATAATGTGATATGAATGTATATAAACTGATTTACATTCAATCCTTTCTGTTTATACTCTAATTTCAAATCAGTTATGTTCGGTGAAATACGTCAGGAGTCTCAATCAAATGGCAACCTCTAGCGTCTGGTCATTCCAGTCAACGCCGAAAGTATTTATTGTGCATGCCCTTCAGATAAGAATCTGCTGGCGTCACCGTTTGACATGACTTGTGGAATATTTCTAGCCTCATTCTTTGAGTCCCTTGTTACAAATGCTGCTGAAACATATTATCGTAAACGATTCGTGTACCAATGGTAAAATGTTTATTTTATCTTAAATATTGGATATTAGAAGCCCGTCTTTTCCCAGTAACATCACAATATCAATGTTGATTTAAATTGACAAATAATTCATGTTTTCAATGTCGAAGTCTTTGGATGCTATGGAGTTAGAGACTTGGCTACTTTAAATTAGATAGTAGCAAAGATCGTGCTGTTGGTAGGGTATGTTATGCGCAGTGAACATGGATAGCGATTTTTGTTATATGGTATATTTCTGTATTCAGTGAGACGCGTAGATGCAACTACATGAAGTTGTTGGCTTAAAGCAGTTAATGAATCTGTTGTTTACCTTTTGTTTATCGGTTGAACTCTGTGTGAAATGGCGATCTGATTATTTTATCACACAACTTGTCTAAAAGAATTTGTCTGGTTTGTTAATAAAACTCTCGTCTTCATTATCTGTATACTATAATTATAGAGAAACAACTATGGTAAATCCTATCTATCAGTATAATGGACATAATTCGGACATGAAGTATTCTTGTCGACAGCCCGATTTTGGTAACTTTTATTCGGACACTGGGATTTCCTGACAATGGAAACCTAACGTCCTGATTATGTGGAATAGTTATGTCAACATCCCCATCCAACCTACCCCCAGTGCAATATAAATCCTTGTGGGGTTTAAACTTTAATTCAATCTTTAAGATACCATAACATTATGACAATCCTCGATTTGATTGTGATCTCGACCTTGAAACCACTGAACACTTTTTACTCTACTGTCCAAAGTACACACTCCAGCGTAATAATACCATTCATTTATTACCAATGTATTTTAAAATATTACTTGCCTACTCTATGATAATGCCGAACTATCTCCAGACGTTATTTTTAATACTGTTTACAAATATATTAAACATACAAAACGTTTTACTCCGCAAATTACAACCTTGGGGTGAGGAATTTATTTTTTTTTTTTTTTTTTTAAATATTTTTTCATTTATTTTTTTTATTTTTTATTTATTTATTTTTTATTTTATTTATTTATTCCAAATTACTTATCTACTTATTTGTACCATAACTAAAATAATGTAATTAGTTTTTGTCTGTATCATATATTATTTGAAATTGTTCATATATTATACACCCAAACTAGAAGGAAGCAGTTTTTGTGTCCTATTTTTTATGCATTTATATAGCATAATACTCTCGAAATAAATACTGTTTAAACCAATCTTCGTTACATGAATCACTGCTCATTAATATTTTATTTTGAAATAATGGATTTTGTAAGTTTTCATGCATACACTTCAATTAAGAATAAAATCAAAGAAATACATGGCTAAGCTCTTAATGCAAACTATAATAGAATTTGGCATGGTAGATTAGATACCATCCCGACCTTGATGTTCATGGATATAAATGGGTTATCTTTCAGTCGTTAACAGACGTTTACAAGAGAATACAAAATGACGGCGTAAAATCAATTTACGTTATATAAATTGCAGATTGCCATAGCATACTTCGGATCAATATACTCTTTGATTTTTGTCATTGACTGTGGAGTCTGGAAGTCTTTATTTGGAATATTAGACCTTTAATGGCCCGTATCTTTGGAGGTGTTATAGGCCATCGCTATTAATTTATAGAAAACTAAAACATACCTCGTTTCATCAATAATATAATCGTAGTCATATATAAACAAAAAAAAACCCTCGCAATTATAAAAGCGTGCGTTCTGTATGCATCCTGATAGTGTGTGTTGGCCTTTAGTCTATTGAAAGGTATATATAAGATAAAGATAAGGTAACAGTGTAATTATAGGTGATAGCTTATTAACCTTTTAATGTTAAACAGACAGAAATACCTTTAAATAACTACCCCCGCTGAGTACTAGTCGTTTCGTCTTCAAAATGTTAAAGTGGGTGTGTGGTGATATTTGGTTTCATTCAATTGTTATACATTCTGAAAATATTTAACAATTTTAAAAAGGCATAAAGTATAACATTCTAATTATAATGGAAACTGCAATTTGTTAAAACCTTTTTTGCCCCTGGGATAGATTGGTCATAACAGGTCAACTGAACACAAATGTCTTATAGATGTTCTTAGACTACAGTCTGTACAAAATAACAACGGAAAAGAAAGAAAAAAAACCTATGGTCTAATTCTAAGAGTATACAATGCGGATTTTAGTACTTTCTTTTTGATTGGGGCTATGAAAAGATCACTAAAACCGTTTTCTGTTCTAACTCGTTTCTTTATACTGGTATGTGTTGAAATAGAGTACTGTGGCGTTCAATGTGTCTTTTAACAATAGACCTGTTCTGTTTCATATATGCACGTATATTAATAAGTGACATTATTTTGTTTTATAGACGCAGCTGAGAAGAGAGCCAATGAACTGTTAATAGAAAGGGTAAGTTTGTCTATCGCGAGGTGAACATAGAATATCTTCAAAGATAAATTTATATGGACAATCTTGCTGTGACAAAGAAACTTTTCAAATAGCCGCTAATGCACACTGAACTAAACATTTGACAGTGACAAAGATGTGTATGGTAATGAAAGTTGGTCTAAATTTGTCATAGGAATTAAGCATGCCATCGGACAGACACTTAACCAATCTTCATCGGCAGTGGCATCTCTGCCTGCTTTTTTGATTAAGGGTTCTTTTACAGGCAAGACAACGTTATAAATTTTTCTCATATTTCACAGGATCATTCATACGTTTTAGTGATAGATGGCGCCACTTTTCACAGAATCTTGATTTTAAGAAAAATGAAACCTCGTGGCGAATGAATCAATGAAAGAGTGAAATAGTTTTATTCGACATAAAGAGAGTATTGAGTTGTAATTGAGTTGATATCATCATGGCGTATCTAGTTAACAGTAGGAGTTATTCATGCCATGTGTTGTAGTAAGCTGTTTTACAAGAAAATATTTAAAGTGAGACGACTGAATTAAATAAATGACTAATCCCAACTGTCCCCGCTTCGTCGATTTTAAAACGCAGTTTAGCTTAAAACAAAGAACAAAAAAAAGTTTTCATTTAACATTACATCAATAAATGTTCTTTCAAATATGAGACGTATCTATAGACTCACAAACGGCAACCAAAATATAGGAAATCAATGGGGTTAACGTAATGACAGCCAAATACTTCGACCTTTGTGAGACTAACAACGGTTGTTTTTATTTACTATTGTCACTTATGTAATGTGTGGTCTAGGATTTACCCGGACAACTATATTTAGGTCGATTCTTCATTAGATTCCAGTGATATTTCGCTTGCGCTACAAATTTAGTCTCAAAGTTTTTGCCTCGTCAAAACGATTAGCTCGAAATGAAATGAAATGAAATGGGGTTTAACGTCCTACTGTTCTGCTCCTAAACTGGGCTAATGAAGACAGGCTTACACCATACAGTGTTTTTCGTCCCATCTGAACGACTAGACAGCTGTCCTTGTCAGGCCCTCCGTCCTGCATCACTGACAAGGGGAAACCACGCCTGAAAATCTGGATGAACTTTCTCGGCCAATGCAGGGATCGAACACCCGACCTCCAGGCTAGCGAGCCAGCGTCTTACCCACTTAGCCACGTGATCCCCCCGATTAGCTCGAGGTCAACGAATTGAATCTATATGACTGATAATGGCCACATGGAGTCCCGCGTTAGGGTTGTAAGAATTCGAAGAACAGAAAGCAAGAAGGACTTCTTTATAAGTATGGTATTATTTTAACAAGTTTCATGTCAAAATATAAAGTAATAAGTATCAATGTCGTTTTATTTTAAATACAACTTCATAGCACATATTAGATCGTAAATCTAGGAAGCCCAATCCATATTGGACCGCGCAGTTGCTAAGATCAGTCTGCACTTTCCTTGTACTCAAACTTAAGAAATACTTTGAAGATTCTTGTGCATTATATGGGTCACTCCCTTTAAAGACGATCAGATCATTGGGCTGTTTAATTACATCTTTATGGTCGTTGATTTTCTGATCAGTGGAATATTTTGGCGGTAAATGACCGAAACACAGACAGTTGGCGCCAAAACTGCCGTCTGTTTGGCCCAGAGCTTAGTCCTGACATTGAAGAGATAAATTTGTACATCGATTCGATCTGTGTGTTTGTGGAAATAATCTGCTCGAGTCACGTATCATAATCATTACCCAGGCTTTCAACGCTTCACAAAATTCGTTAACAACAGATCTTTACATGTAGTCTCATACAACCAGCATAATCCTTGGTAATGGACCTAATTAACTCGCCTCATTTAAACACGAGAAGAAAGAAGATGCCATTTAAAACGCCACTTTCTTTAACAAGATTGATTTTTAAAACTCTGATTATAAATTTATTCATTTGCTATTCAAATCACATTCTGAATTACTTGTTCCATGTAGTCAACTTTTTTCTCCTAATATTATGTAGAAATTTTTAAACTTTCAATAACTTTGTTACTACAGACAGAATTGATGAACTATTGCCAGATTACAGGCGGCTTTTATTTACCAAGAATATTACATTTTTGATTTCTTTCAGCAGGTCGGGTGGGGGTGGGGGTGTGTGGCCGATTGGTTAGCGCGTGCGCACTGTATCATAAGGCCTGTCATTGAGTCAGCTGGCGTGGTTTCGATTCCCCGGCTGTACGTGACAAGGAGTAGGGACAACTGTCCAACCTCGTGGTTTTTCTCCGGGTCCTCCGATTTCCTCCCACTGCTAAATACCCCTACGAGCAAGCGAATTATTGATATAGAGTTGAACCATTCTCTTTTCCCCTCTCTCACTCTCAGCCTGGTTTCGTAGTTTATCCCCTGTTAAATGTAGGCGACATTTCGTGTTCATTCCTCTAAAATGTTATTTTGTCCATGTCAGAGCGAGTCAGAATTATGATTAGTGAATGGGAAGTAAATATAAATGCAGTTTAGGTAAAAAAAAAAAAGAGTAAATAATCATTGTTATATTTCATTTATTATTTTCATACAAGCCAGATCATTCTTTTTACACAATATGGCCCACAAAATTTAATAATTCATCCAATTTTGTAACTCACACAATGTTATAACACATTAGATGTAGCATGTTAGTATGTCATCAGAAGTAATGATACAAACATCAATTACAAATTTTAGTAAGTCAACATGAAATAATAACATTACTTCAAGTAAATATTTTAGTATGTCAGCCTGAAATATCGATACTTCTTCTATCTATTACGCATGTTTATAGTGTAGTATACTTTTAACGATATATTTTAGTAATGTCAACGGGAAATAATGACACTATTTTCAATTACATATTTTAGTATGTTGACATGAAATAATGAGACTACCTTCAATTGCATATTTTACTTTATCAACAGGAAATAATTATACTGCATCAATTACACATTTTAGTATGTCAGCAGAGATGGCAACAGTAATACTAATTTCAATTGCTGCTTATTTTAGTAATGTCAAAAGGAAATGGTGATACTATACTTTCGATTATATATTTTAGAATGTAAGTGGGAAGTAATGATACTAACGCAGTTAAATATTGTGTACAGGAAATGTTGATACTACTTTCGGTTGCATATTTCATCTTTCAGAACGCTTTTGAAATTTTAGTAAAACTTTAAGCTTTAAATTGTTAATTTTCTTACAGTGCGATGCCTGTAATTCTATATTAAATGGAACTTATGTTATACCACCGGAAATGGATGAAATGTTCCTGGTTCCCAGAGTAACAGTGGCATTCCATGTGCGTCTGCGCAGTAATATCGTGGTGGCCAGACGAACATTTATGGAATTGAAAAAATTCCACCAGGTAATGTGTGTTTATTGTTTTAAATAATGAACAGGTGTCAAGGAATAATTGATTAAAAGATTTGAACGAATACCGACGGTATTGTCGATTCCTGGACATTATTTCATTAAGTGTTAATAAAAACATCGTCTCAGACACCATAAGACATCATTTTCCCAGCCAAAACACAGAATTAAAGTTAAGATGATATGAAATAACCCACACCATTTGCGCCATAACAAAACAATTTAAATTAAATAAGTCTACTGTCTGTTAAACAATTACTTTTAATTAGTATTAGTTATCAGATCTAGATGTAATATTGTTCGTCATTGTGGGTGGTCGTTTGTAGACCAACCTGTATTTCAACATTCTGAAAATTGAACTAAATTAACCCTTTTCCAGAAAGAAAAACCTGTATATTTTTGATAATATTTGAGTTGTACATGACGATTTATAAGTATATTTTAACCTTTAATACAGGAGCACAATCAACCAAGTTTTATTATTATCACAATCCAGTGTTTATATTAATATTTGAGGACAGTCTTTGGTGGCATATGTGGATGTGGACCACTAATTCTAACGGTATCATTTCTAAATATCATACCCTCAGCTGTGTTCAGTTGAAGTAACCTAGGAATATAGGCAATGTTTCACCAAATGTACACATAGTTACATGTTTGTAAATGTGGTAGAGCTGTGTCGGAGAATGTCACATTTACATGTGTGGAAGACAATGTGTGCTGTGTCCGATGGAACACTAATCTTTGATTTGGTTCATTTGCATCGTGCAGATACACAACTAATCTCTGTCGTCATATACTATTTAAAGGGTCACGTTAGGTTTATGGGTCTATATTTTGTCTTTCTTTTGGAAATTTATAAATTAAAATTTGCAACCGAATGTGTAACTCGAAGAAACGGCGATTTCCTTAAGGTCAAAGAAAATATATTATTTTACAGATTTGTTAGGTAATTATTTTACGTGTACATCAAAGTGCAAAACATGGCCTTGTATCTTAATCATCCACGGTAATAAAAGTCAAGCTAGGCTGCTGATGTGGCGAATAAGTCTTCTTCCAATCAGTACTATCATTAAAATATGTTCATCTTAATTAATATCAAATTAACGGTCTTAAAGAGCAGTTCTCTCAGCAGGAAAATTACTATTTCCTCCAATATGCTATCTGAACCGGCGTGTTCTTTTTTCTTGGTGCTTATGTAATTAAGCTGATTTACACGGCTGTTTACACAATATCTAGAAAAGTTACAATCAAACATATATTACAACATTAATATGACTTTTTTTATCAAGTAATTAATGTATTAATGTTTTATGGTACAAAAATGTAACTAGAATGAAACTGACACTAGAATGACGTTCAGTCTGATTAAAATACAGATCTATATTTCGTTTCGTTTTTTTTATACTTTCGATGACCTACACCTACACTTCCTCCACGGGTGTGGTGACGACAAGTAAAACGAAATTTTGAACAATAAAAAGCAAAACGAAATAAGATCTTTGTTTCAATCAGATTGAATGACGTTAAAACGATAATGACATTAGAATTGTTTGGTTACTTTCATTCATTTATTTTTTTTGACGGATATTGTCATAAAAATTAAACGGAACATCTGCTTTTAATCAAATTGCATTAGAATTAAAATGGCGTTAAAATGAAAATAACTCAAATAACGATATTGTAAAGAACACTACAACAACAAAGATAGTCAAACACAAGAGTCACTGAGCTGAAATATAAAAACAATTCTTAGAGAGTAAAACAACTTGGTTCCATCTGGTGAAATACAAGTTATAAAATCTTGAAGACAGGTGGACAAACTATGTCATCTGGTAGCAATAGAACAACACAGCGACTCAACTGTCACCGATTAGACGTCACGCTTTCTACCATCTTTAATGTGCTTTCCGTCAAACACTGAACTCCGATAACTAAGAACAGGTCTTGTTTCAAAGATAGAATAATAGAAATTTATTGACTTCATAAATTGTAAATTATTTCAAGGAAACGGTACGAGACGAACCTTTAAACCCCCCACTAAATTGGAAACATATTCCATATAATGTATAGTCATATTGAGCTTTTTTTTTTCAAACAAATTAAAGAACATCGATCTATTATTTTTATATTCTTTAAATTGATAATGTCCTGTTATAACCCATTCAAATTAAATTAACAATTATATGAATTATTTATTTGCAAGTAAATTTGAGGCTTTGCTCCAAACAAATGTAAAGTTGATACCTCTTGTACTAATTTTTGAAAATACCAGGGAAAATAATATCTAATAGAGTATGATTTTAATAAAGGGAAGTGGCGAACGCAAAAGGAAAACACGAGTTATCCTTCAATATAAGTGACGAGTGATAACAGATACAAGGGCGAATTTCTGCTCACTAATAATTCCTTCGAAGACCAAAAGTTGCTATGTGAGGCTGTGGGAAGATATCTGATAATTCAACAAAGTAATTGAATGTCACTCAATAAGGGAAAACGAGAAAAATAGACATAGTCCGTACATTCCCTTGTTATTATTCATTCTGTACTTAATAAAACCATGGTATTGTACGGACTTTTTCTATTTTTATCGTTTTCTCTTATTTAGTGACAGTCAATTATTCTTTAAATTGTCAGATATCCCCCCACAGTCTCATAACTTTTAGTCTTCGAAGGAATTATTAGTGAACAGAAATTCGCCTGTGTATTTGTTGTCACTCGTCATTTCAGTTAGTTCCTTTTGCGTTCGTCACATCCCTTTCTTGAAATCTTCATAACGCATATATCCTACCAATGATCTCTGTGTTAAAATTATAATTGGAACGGGTTTAACCAGTTCTATCACATATGTGATAATGATAACAAAAGTGTAGTAAGCATCCGCAAAAGAAAAAAAAACAAAACAAAAAACAAACACGGAACGGATTTTAAGTAGATACCTGGTATCACTTCCATTGTGAGACTTTTCTTTTGAGATGAGCCTACTTGCTCTCGAATTTTGACTACTGGTTAGCATCGATTGTGCTTGGTTTTAATGTTATCCTCTTATGAATTGCTTACATCTCGAGATGACCTATCCTGTGTTGACGAGACATTAAATCCTGTTCAATCCCATTACTATTATTAGTTCAGAACTAGTGCCACGAAGGTCGAGTAATATCTCGTAATAATGAGATAAATATGGCTTCACATTGTTCAAAGGCTAAAAACAATCGTCGACGATATATTAATACCATATTGTTTGAACAGAGATTTTCTCCTTCAATAATAGGCACACTATGATTCTATTTACTCTACAAAGAAAATAGAAGAACTAATTGAATAGGTTATTTAATAGATTCGTGATCTGTAAATACAAGTTGAGTAAACATATAATAAAGTACACAATAAATATGGAAGGCATATATTTGTTTTTCTCAACACAAAGAAAATTACTTTCAAAGAGTCTGTTGTTGATTTTGCAATTTTGGAATCTTGAGGAAATAAAAAAAAAGGAACCATTTGAAGTCTTTTGTATCTACGCTGTAGATATAATGTGAACACACACAAATATAAAGGAATGGCGTGTGTTTGTTTTCTGAAAATAAAGATCGTCAAAATGATTTTGCAATTTTAGAATATCTAGCAAATAAAAAGAACTAAATAGGCGACATTTTAATGGTTGAAATCAAAGTAATTGTAAACATGGAATTATTAGATTATTTATTTATTCTTAATGCGAAAGAAATGTAATTGGTTATTAAGGAATGGTGTGTTTTTCCCCTTAGGTATCAAATTAAATAACTGAAAATAAAAATGTACATTTGATGAAAACAAAATAATAAATGAAATGGCGTATCAAAGTTTAAATTTTAAAGCACATTATTTTTTTTCTTTAATATTTACTGTATGCAATTCAATGAGAGAATTTTACCTGGGCAGCGGCATTTGCACTCACACGTCCTCGAATTCAAAGTGTGACGGGCCCTTGTATGCACACTCCTCAAGCTATTCCTTTAAACTATGTCAACCCACCAGATCTTGCCTTTGACGAACGAGACCCAGCTTTGAAAAAAACAAGTCCAGAGCTGAAATATTCTGTATATTATTCCTATAATTAATTGTGATTACATCCAAATTACAATAGATGAATCATACAGTCAGTGTTATAAAAAGAGTGAATTCATAATCTATAATATAATGGTTTTAGTTTCGTGTCGACTTATCATTATTAAATAGAGTAAATTTCGTCTTTGATATAACCATCAAAAATGAAGAAAGCCAGATCATCCGATTGTAAGATAATTAATTTTGAAACAATCAGCGGGGAATGTCGAGTTCAAATAAAAAAGATTTCTGATCAAACAGAAAGACAAGAAACAGAGGATAATACAATAATTAACGTTAATATAATTCTGTGATGCGAAAATATCTCCTGGCGTTTACAATTTATGATTGAGACTTCAAAAATCTCCAACGCCCAGAAAAGTCAAATAACCTATTCTAAACATTTTAGTCCAACATTCATATTTGATATACATAAAATCACCTTGAATGCACAGGCACTTGAAGGGATTAAAATAAAACTTCTTACTACTGCTTGACTATATAGTCAAGCAGTAGTAAGAAGTTTTATTTTAAATAGTCAAGCAGTAGTAAGAAGTTTTATTTTAATCCCTTCAAATAAAACTTCTTACTACTGCTTGACTATATATTATACTATATATTATACTATAATATATAGTCAAGCAGTTTTATTTTAATCCCTTCAAGTGCCTGTGCTTGAATGTTACCTAATTTGTAGCATAACATTGCCATCACATTTTAATGTTTGGCCGGGTAGATAGAATTTGTCAAAATGAAAATGTATATTCTATAGTGAATGTTGTATTTTACCTTGATCAGCGATTACAAATTAGTTAACAACTTAAGAAAAGGGGTTTATGGAGAATGAAACCGTTTTAATGCGCGCCAATAAATAGTAGAATGTTCGATTGACTTGTATCTAAGTCTTAAATGCTCTCTGAAAATTGTCCGAGGCCCGAATTCCTTTAATTGGGCTACTTCAGTTTGTGGTTATCTTGGAGAGACTAAGGCCCGTTTTCCATGTACGCGTTTTCGCGGTGTTTCTGTCGGGTAGGCTACATAGAAACGGTCCCATTACATTTGCATTAGACCGACTTTTTATACGGCGAAAACACGTACATAGAAAACGGGCCTAAGGTTATTTTGAATTTAATATTATTCAAAATTAATTACATTCATTTTCTTGGTGTGAGTGATGATGCTTAAAATCAGCTTACTTTGTCGTCTGAACGCAGTGGTGGGACAAATAAACCAGATTGCTGTCTTCGACGTGGTCTTTTTCCAAAAAACGATATTTATCAACATAAAACCTTTTGATTGTATTTGTGTATTTATGAAGTAATATATTATCCGCAACTTCAAGAGACGTTTTGAATTACAGTGGAGATTGTTCAATTCTCGTTAAGTGTACTATTATATCAGTGATTCGGCCATCATGTCTCTCTTCATTATACTAAGTAAACCAATTCACTTCTTACAACAACCGATAGGAACTCCAGCACGTGCGTTCAAGAATATGGAATGGATGCCAGGATGCAGTACGAAACGACCCGAGCGCCATCTGGTGTGTATGAAGGAAAAGACCTGAGCAATTAACTCGTGTGGAGTAGAGCCTGTCTTCCAACTATTCGTTTATTTAACAAACATCGCCAGTCGAATACCGATTGAATACGGGCCATGTTTTTCATAGTAGGACTAATGAGAGAGGCATGACCTCCTCCCACCTGACCCCCCACACGCATAACAACTGCAATAACGAACTAAACTTGAATAACACCACCCCAAAGTATACCCGAACATCACAGGAATATGTCAAGATTCCAGAATGTTTGGGGAAAAGGTGCGGAAATTCTGGCGTTTCTGAGAAATATAGAAAAAATAAATCAAGCGCTATAAACGATTTTTGTTTAATATGTTTTAATACATTTTTCATATCTAATTATTTAGTAATTACATTCTTGGACGGGTTTACCGGAAGTGTGTTTAGCATTTGGTTAAAGTTAACCGGAAGTTCGTGATTCGTTTTGAGTGCGAAACAAGCCAATGGTCATTTTACATTTCTTTATTAAAGGAGTATGAACCAGTCGAAATATTATAAACACATATACACACCTATGAAAAACGTGACTTTAAAAATAAGGTTATGTGTATCTCTAAATTACCAGGAATATTATTTGCTGCCATTTCTGAACAAACATACGGATTGCCAGGAAATCACGCTGGTTCATCACAAGGGCGTGCTACAAATCTATCACAACTCTTGTAACTATTGCACATACGATTATTAAACAAAACTGTGCAACCTGAAGAGTAACCATCCGATAACCAATGGGATTTTTTCTAGAACGGACAGGTGTTTTTTGTTTTTTTTATGGGGGGGGGGGGGGGTATTCCGTTCATTGGGTTAACAACTAAGTGCCTTTGACCTTGATTACACAACCAATCACATGTTTCGATAATCAAAACTCGGAATTTTCTGTTTCATGGGATTTGATTGGCAGATTGAACTGGGGTCGATCAATCACCATTACGGAACACACCCCGTAAAGGAATGTATTTTAGGTCAAGTGAACAACGAAAAAAAAGGGTACGAAATGCTGGTATAATATTAATTACACACGTGATATAGAACCACATTTAAGGTGTTAGCAGGGCAAGGGTTAGGGGCCCTAAAGCTGTGGGAAGTACGTGTAAGTAAACTAATTACTTTGTTTAAAAGTATGGTAATTAAGGCAAAAGAAACGTCATATCAGATAAAGTCGGTCGATTAGTCTGGTATTGAATTAATTTTCACACCAATCCCTTCAGACCTGGTGGACCTCCTTATTTATACTGCAGTTTGTTAGGGTCTGTGTGGGGTTTGGATGGCCGAATAGTAAACGCGTGTGCGCTGTATCATAAAGTCTGGCAATGAGTCAACTGGTCTGGTTTGGATTCGCCGGTTGTACGTGACCAGGAGAAAGGTCGCCTTTTCAACCTCGTGGGTTTTCTTCCGGTCCTCCGGTTCCCTCCCACTGCTAAAGAGCCCTACTAGCAATCGAATTATTGAAATAAAATTGAACCATATGTTGGTCCCGAAATGACCTAGATTGTGTCGAGTTAACGTTAAACTCGCTCTCTCTCTCTCTCCCTCACTCCCCCTCTCTTTCTTTCTCTCTCTGTGTGTTTGTCTCTCTCTCATTAGGGTCTGTCTAGATTATAGTGTATAAAAAACCAATAAACCTGTATTAAGAGGTTAGATCTATTTGATAAAGCCAACTTCAAGTTTGGTCAAAGGTCACGAGATGTAAACAGGGCTAGCGCTAATCTCAACACTAACCCTAACCCTGGACCTAGCCTTAATGCTTGCCCTAATCCCTACAATCTCGCCAACAATCTCGTGTCCTAACCTTATTTACATCTCAGCGACCTTGACGAAAATTGAGCTGGCCTTAACAAATAGATTTAGCCTGTTTTAAGGTTAGAAAAACTGAAATTTAGACGTTCATTTTTCGAAGTCAAATGCATGTTTGTATTTGTGACGTACAAGGATGAAAAACGCCGTAGGCTTTTTTCTTATTGATTTGAAAACATTTTGAATAGCTGTATTGTTTTATATTTTCAGCCATTTGGAGATGGTGCTTTCCATCGTGGTGGCGTATTTAACTCACGTGACGGTCGTTTTGTGGCGCCACGTGATGCTCTATACCAGTTCTCGGCTAATTTACATATTCAAGTGAGGAAGAAGGGGCGTAGCGGGAAGAGATTGAGGAAGAGAGATAATATTAAAGTCTTCATCTGTATTGATTCATTATGCCAGAAAAATACGTAAGTTGCAGTCTGATGAAATCATAAAATAATTTCGTTTCGTTTCTCTGAAAAATTGGTTTCCAACCACGTTTGCTTTTTGACTAATCAAATTGTGTATATTGGTATAAAGGGCCGCGTATTACGGTGAATTATAGGAACGTGTACCTGAATGTTTTAGTAATTTATGTCCGGCTTACAATTTTGAGTACTTTTGTCAATTTTCGGTAAATATGGTCTCCACATTCAAAACAGCTAGTATTAAAGAGATTAAAGGCACGTCTTCATTTACTGCATCATACATATATTATATAACGGGTTTATTATAAGAGTATTCTATTTTATTGTCTGTTGTATTTGTAGATCATTAGAACATAATTATAACGGATTTATTGTATTTTTAGATCATTAGTACATATAACGGGTATTGTATTTATATATAATAATATTATATTTTGTTTTATTTATAGATCATTAGAAAATATAACGGATTTATATATCATGATATTGTATTTTGTTTTATATATAGGTCATTAGAACATAACGGGTTTATTATAATTATATAATGATATTTTATATTATAGATCATTAGAACATATAACGGGTTTAGATGCCAACAGTAAGATCTTTACATCAAGTATCACGGGTTTACTTCAACTCAAGGCAAGTATTATAATATTGATACATTCAATCAGTTTAACGTACCCTTTACACAAAATAGATCATTTCGGGACTAACATATTGTACAATTATACTTCAATAATTAGCTTGCGCGTAAAAGAGGTCTTCCGTTTTTGTTTTCAGCTTTGTGTGGTGGCTATGTATCTCAGGTGATAATTGGCTATAATCGCTAGCCTTAAAAACCCAAGCGTTCAGCAGAATTTCTTTTAAGGTGGTGTAGTACTATAGTAATAGAGCAAGTGCAGAACTGAATAGGAATTAATAGTTTGGAAGCCACTGTGGCATAAAGATAATGTTTTAGGTATACCTAGTGTAATGGATTGTGTTTTCGGGCATTGACAAAGCAAGCCAAGAATCGAATTTAGATTAGTAAACAAACATGCTTCCGTTTATTCTTTTATAAACCGATTAACTCAATTCAACACGATTATTTGTATCAAAGAAGTTTAGTCCTTTTTTTATTAACTGGCATACTTCTTCATTTCAGACTGGGCAGTATGTGTCAGTGTATATCGACAATTCATCGGGAATAACAGTCCGGGTACAGAGCGGTTCCGACTTCTCTGGTATCTTGTTCGGTGTATAGAACATCGTCTTTGGTCATCAAAAAATTGGTGACTGGGGAACTGGTAAAATGTGAATTATTTTGACTCTCGGTTTCGGACTGATCATTGTTTCTGTGAATGTTGTGACAACCTAGTTTTATAATTGTGTCGCAAAGTATCTCGAAAGAATACAATGGAAGACTTCGTGAGATTTTTGTGTTTCCTAGAACCTGGAAGAATAATGATATCGCGAGACTTGATGAGTAATTGGTGTAGACTTCAGATCAGAAATTGGATGTCTATAATACCTAAAAAGACGAAGATGTAACTACCTCTGAATTCCACGTGAACAAAACGCGGGTAGATAATAGTGAATCACAGACCACAGTGAGGTGTCCGGGATAACATACCTCCAACAGGAAAATGTCTTGTACCTCGTGGGTTAATGAGAAATTTTGTTTCATAATTATAATGTAATGTTTGGATGAAATGCCTTACACAGGGCCGACTCCTATTGCTAGTACTCTACCTGCAATTAACAAATTGAAACTATCTAAAAGACATATCTTGTTGTCTAACTATATAAATTTAGTGTGTATTTTAGAAGGAATCGCCATTTTGGGGATCTATTGATATTGCCAAGTGATTATTTCATACCAGTTTTGTTGTAAATCTGTATGTTTTAATAAGTGTACACAACTGTCCTAAAAGTATAACAAAACATCTGTGTTCTGTGTAGCCTTTCGTTTTATTACTATATATTATCATCACAATATTTTGATGATATTCATATAATTAGATAGAAATGAAACAGTACGAATTTATATGTTGTAATTATACCGTGTCATTATATTATTTTCAAATATTAATGGTATTGTTATGGTCATTTTAAATTATACAACTGTCCATTGGTGGTAACTATATCGTAGTATTACATCAAATTTCTAGAACTGTTCTTGGCTATAATGATGTATAACATAACTAGAATTGTAAACAGTCCATTGTAATGCTGTAGTAGAGGTATATAAATTTTCTGGTAATTATATAATAGTAGGGCTATAATTATAATAAAGTTCCTGGAAATTTGTAGGTATTTTAAAATAGCAATTACATGGCAGTACTCTAATTATAAAATTATTTATGGCTATTATATAGTAGCGCTATTTTATAAAACTGTTATGGCACATACTGTAATATTATACAACAGTTTATGGTAACTCTGTATTAGTGGTATGATTATAAAATAATCCATGGCGTTTTCTATAATTATAAAAGAGGTTATGGTAACTATTATTATAGTAGTGGTATAATTATAAAATAGTTGATGGTGATTTCTATAATTATAAAACAGTCCATGGTATTTATTTAGTAATAAAATAGTTCACAGTAGTTATCACAGTGCTATGATTATAAAATAGTTGTTGGTGAGTTCTATAATTATAAAATAGTTGATGGTGAGTTCTATTATTATAAAGCAGTTTATGGTAATTACATAATAGTGTTATGATTATAAAACTGTTCATGGTAATTACATATTGTAAATGTAATAATGATTTAGCGTTATTGAACATATAAAATAGTTCCTGGTAAGTACAATAGTTATATATAAATAGCAACTGGCTATATCAGATAGTAAAAGCCCTGAGAACTGTATCCCGTTTTTCACTTTCAAAAGAAATAGACAAATGAATATCCAGCTAACCATTTTGTAGTTGGGCGATGAACCAATTTAGAGAATAATATGTCTCAGTTGCTGGGGATTCTAAATTTGTGTTTGATAATAATGTGGTTAGTTTTTTTTTCAAACCAGCTTGTCATAGACTGGAATCCTTTAATGTTATAAACAGTATGGTTGTGCATTTGAATGTTTTGAACAAAAAATGCCTGAATTAAAAATCAACTAACACCCTGTTTCTTATAGAAGGCAAAGGCTAAGTTAGAGGGGCGCAATGACGAGCTTTTGCGCCATCTTAAGTTTTTGCGCACCCTGTCAAGTGGCAAAAACTCACGCGGTTTAAATGCGATTTTCAATATTATAATCATAAATCATAATGCTCAACTCGTGTCAAACATATACCGTGAATCAGATATGCTACAAATCAACTCTAACATGTTCGACACAGCCCAATATTACCAGGCGACACTGGGAGGGGTCGACCCCGCCACCCCTTCTCCGCATTCACATATAAATATTGTTTTTTGGACCCGGACAGGATCTTGTTCCTCATGCAAAATCATGGGTCATCAGGCCCCTGATAGAAGGTCATGTTATTCAAATTTCCATGAATTATATATAAATCTTCTTATTGAAAAAAAAAGTTAGGCTACTGTTATGATATAGGTCGTAGCTTATTCTCTTCTAATAGTGTATACTGTATAAATTTTAAGTGAGCCAAACATTCTACTGTCGCAGTCTAGGCGTGTTTTAAAGGGGGATAACCTTTTCGTTTCTGTAGATGTGCTATTGTCTATTTAAATTAGTAATACTTCTTCTGAAGTTTTAAAGGGGGGTAACTTTACTATTCATCTCGATATGAATTGGATATATTTGAACATCACTTGAGAATTTTCCATTACTGTAACCTTTTCACTTCTGCAGATGCGCTAGTATCTATTTAAATTCGTAGCCTAATACATGAGTTGAAGTCGTACAGGGATGTAACTTTTCTTTTATTACTAATCTTGATAATTTGAACATCACGTGAGATAACTAATTCTCAATATTTTTTATAAATGATATATTTGTTTGTTTGCATAGCACTTGAATTAAATAGTGATATATTTAAGATAATTCTATACGCCCAGTAGTTGTTAATTCTCAACTGTTAGGCCAAGTTGACGTTTTACGCGATATAGCTTATCAACTAGCATAGGTTGTATTATTCTCTATATTAATTAATGGCTCTTGTATTTGTATATCACGTAATGTTTGTACATGTAATGTGTACAGTTGACAATAAATTAATTTACCGAATTTACAATTGTTAGATAATATATTTTGTTTAATTACCAATGAAGGTGGTGGGGACGGGGAATTTCCCGGTCCCGGGTAGGCAACCCGTTGACTTGTGGAGAAGGACTTTTGACATTTTACAATGCTGGTTCCCACAAGTGCGCCGGCTAATGGAGCTAAGATGTGGTGGCCACCTTCAATAGAAGGCTTGATCTCACTGTAACTCCGTACATGTTATCAAGGCCTTCACGTAATACTCAGCTTGTGGGCCTATCAGATTACTCGATCATCGCAAATACAAGGTCTCCGCTTTCCAGCTAAAATGTCTACCTGTGATAATCGAGTGGCAAATTTCAAAGTGTCAAGATTTCCGTGGCGGTCGCTATCAATGACGTCTATACTATAGTATAGCCGTCATTGGTCGCTATAGTTGAGTTGATTGTCTTTGTGTCATGTCACAACTTCTGATTGGACGCTGCCATTCACGTGTCTGTAATCCAGCGACGTCCAGTTGTAAAACTCACAATCGTTGTTTCAGGAACATGCGATATGGCTAGCTTGGAACGAAAAGTCATTCGAAGAGAGCGGTCGGTGTGGGGGAATGAGCGGGGGATTATTAACAAAGCCTAAGCCACACGGACAAAGCTGGTAGTAAGCCTACGTCAGGTGGAAAATATGGATCACATTTCAAACTGTTCATTATGCGTTTTTGTAATCAGTGCTAAATACATGATATATGTATATGTATAAATACATGATATGTGTGTGCGTATAACTACGTGATTTTATAAATACATGATATGTGTATGCGTGTAGATGTATAAATACATGATGGTGTATAAATACATAATATGTGTATGCGTATAGATACATGATATATGTATGCATGTAAATACATGATAACATGTATGCGTATAAATACATGAAAGGTGTATAAATACATGAAAGGTGTATAAATACATGAAAGGTGTATGCGTGGAAATATATGATATATGTATGCGTGGAAATACATGATAAGTGTATGTGTATAAACGCCTGAAGAGCCGCTATCGTGGTGAAAACGTTAGTATAAATATGTAGTTTTTTTTCAATTATATATTACCAAAGAGCAGCTTTAATTAACTATTCTACTATATATATATACTATTCAAAAAAAGTAGGGGATATTTGATTTTGGGGGCATAATACTAAAATATGCAAATGACTACGAAAAAAGTCACTATAGAACCTAACAGAAGAAACATTTCCAGTTACATGTGACGCCCAAACGCACCAATAGCTACCGCATGGAATGCAGGTGATGCTTGGGATCATCATGGGGGTCCAACCCAAGATTTGCACGACTCTGACTTTGAATGTTACAGTCATTGTGGCATTGAATTCCAGGGTGGAAACATCAGTTTAATTGTTTTAGTGACCAGAAAACAAATTTTGATATGCGTCGGCTTACCCAAAATGAAAGGTTACGTGCCCTTGGCATGTTACAGATCGGCACAACACAGGCGGTTGTGGCGCGGACGATGAATGTTTCTCAGTCTGTCATAAGCAGGCTATGGTCCAGATACCGTGATACACAATCTGTACAGGACAGACCACGCTCAGGTCGACCAAGGGCGACAACTCAAGCCCAGGATCGATTAATCCGTACCTTGGCCTTGAGAAATCGTGTCATCACAGCAAATCAGATCAGCGCTCGTCTTCAAACAGACACTGGTGTGAGAGTGAGTGGCCAGACGATTCGAAATCGACTGCATAGGGGTCACCTTCGCGCCCGACGTCCTCGCGTGATCCCTTGTTTGAGAGATCATCACATTCAGGCAAGACGTCGTTGGTGTAGGGATCGTCAACACTGGGATAATCGACGCTGGAGCAATGTGATGTTTTCAGATGAGTCAAGGTTCACTGTTGATTTTTTGGACAGACGTAGAAGGGTGTGGCGTCGTCGAAACGAGCGCTTCCAAGACGTTAACGTCATCAGACATGATCGATTTGGGGGTGGTTCTGTTATGGTGTGGGGAGGCATCACTGTTGCTGGAAGAACGGCTTTACATGTTGTTGCAGGGCGTGTTACAGGCCAGTACTACCGGGACAACATCTTGGCAGTCCGTGTTGTGCCGTTCGCACGACGTCATGGCCGCCGTTTCATCTTCCAGGATGACAACGCAAGATGTCACAGGGCCAGGATCGTTACAGGTTACCTCCAACAACAGAACATCACCACATTACCTTGGCCAGCACTGAGTCCCGACCTCTCCCCCATCGAGCATGTCTGGGACATGCTTGGACAGAGGTTACGTCAACGTCAACAACGTCCTGCCAATGTCCAAGAACTTGCTGCTGCGTTGCAACAGGAATGGGACAATCTGGACCAAAATGACCTTAGACGTCTCATTAGGAGTATGCCACGTCGGATCAATGCTTGTTTGGCAAACAGAGGAGGATTTACCCGTTACTGACTTGGTTGTGATGCTGTGGTAACTTTGCTGTTTGACCCCGGGTATCATTTTACCCTTATAATGGTCAGTCTGTGCCTTACTTAGTCTAACGATCATTTGGAATAAATCGATGAATGTGAACTTCATTTCATTTTGTCATTTGTTTCTTCGTCAGTTTCATTAGGTGACTTTAATAACACTTAAAAATCAAATATCCCCTACTTTTTTTGAATAGTATACTATAGGGGTAACTATATAATGAATTAGGAAAAAGTAACGCCAACGCGCCAAGCAATATTCTTCAATTATATAAAACAATAGAGTACTGTAATTAGAAGCCTCGTACCCCAACATCATATGCCAATGCCCATCGTCCCCCGTTCCCCGTCCCCCTCCGTTATTACCGGAGTCAAAATATTTCATAAAGCCAAGAGAAAGGATGGTAAATGTGAGCTCTTTATGCAAGGGAAAAAACTCCATTTAAATTCGTATACGGACATCCTAGTGGATGTAAAACAAAAAACTTTTTGGGGGATGTGGTGACACTTTTCGTCTAGTGTATTGAAAAAAAGAAGTTGTTTTTCTTTCGGGCCAGTAGAAGGACACAACCCTTCTGAAAACACGGATTTTTATAAAACGGTTTTTAGTATTGTGATGTATTTGTAATGGTGGGGGAGGAGAAAACTGAATAACCATCCGGGCGATTTCTTGTCTAGTTACTGTTATACATGTAGTTTTAAACCCGTTTATACAGCCATATGTTCAAATAACGGTTATTACAATTACAAGCAAAGTCTCACACACTTTTCAAATACGTCCCAGTTAAACCCGATTTAGTCATGGACACAAGAACTTTACTAGTACATCTTTTCTCCATCATGCACTGAGTAGACTATGTCTCATGTGTTATTCTTACCCATCTATAATAATCTATAAGACAGAATTTAATGAGTTTTAATGGGGTTAATGAATACAGGTGTTCACATCACCATAGCTGTGTCCGCTGTCCGGGTACAAACCAGTTACTGTATACAACAATATATTACGCTCCTGGCCCAACTTTAACAGAATTCAAGTAGATATTTATGAGTATAGATAACACATTTATATATATTTTCAGTAGTTAATAATAAGATAAATAAGAAGAATATAGTAGAAATCTTGAAATGAATATATGAACACAATTACATAATATTATACTATAACCTACAATATACTATAAATGTTCATCCAATTTATACCAAATGGTTAACGCGTGCGCGTTGGATTAGAACAGTGGTTCTCAACCTTTTTTTGCCAACGGCACACCTTGGAAAACATTAAAAAGGTAGGGGCACACCTGGCTATATATATATATATATATATATATATATATATATGAGAAAAATACTTGAATTTTGCAAAATAAAAACATGGTAAGTCAGACGGCATACAACCGTAGAGCGAAACTAGTCATAGACACATATAATGACTCAAACTAAATAAAGACACCAGTGAATACTAAATTGGGATCACGTGGTTTTTCGCATTTTCTTAGTGTGCTGTTCAAAATGTCGCGGCACACATAGGGAGATCTAGCGGCACACCTGTGTGCCGTGGCACACTGGTTGAGAATCACTGGATAGGTCTGTCATTGAGTCAAGTGGTGTGGTTTCGATTCCCCGGATGTACGTGACAAGGAGTAGGGTCGCCTGGCCAACCTCGTGGGTTTTCTACGGGTCCTCCGGTCTCCTCCCACTGCTAAAGACCCCTACGCACAAGCGAATTATTGAAATAAAATTGAACCATGTGTTAGTCCCGAAATGACCTAGTTTGTGTCGAGTGGACGTTAAACCCCATCTCAAACGTGGGGCGTAATTTTCATTACTCAGATTACAGAAAATTACAGGATAAGTGAATGTCAATAGTCAATCGTGATGTAGTGAAGGTCAATCAAAGGCACAAAATTGTAGTTACCTCCCTTGGACTCCGATAACATATTTCACGCGCATATCATTGGCGTCTGCTTGGTGCTGACCAAGTAAGTCAGTGCCTAAATCTCTTAAATCAGCAACATAACATTAGTATGACAATATTATAGATTTCTGAAGGAAACGGAATTATTTTGACAGCCAATAAGAAAATGTCTTGACCAAAGAAGGATGCACAGTTCTCTGGAATATGGCAACATATAGGCCTAGGCCTATTTGCATTTTATAACATATTTTGTTCAGTTGCCAATAATTGTCCAATCCTTTAAATTTTTCTGAAATGATAAAGAACGGCTCCAATAAGATCATCCATAGTTTACTCAATAACCTTGAAATAGTTCTAGCTTTATTCTAATTTCTTTATAGAGGCATTATAGGCCTCTCACCGGGGAAATAAATTTAAATAACATATTCAAGCACGAAACTACTTACACTAAGGTATTTTGCGTGAGGGTTGGTTATTATATCCAGCGGTTTTACATAGGCTAATATTGTTCCCCAATCCCATTCAGATATCCTGAACAAAAATAGTGTTTTTAAAAAAATGTGTAAGCCTAAGCCATATTTTTTCCCGCATGCACATGTTTAATAAAGCGGAATTTGGTCTGATTAATTGTTCAAGTTTTGTTTTATTGTTAAAGGCTCAATACCACTCTTATTGTAACTGAATAATATGTCCCAATCTTTATTCTGGTCAACAAATTGTACTATTTTAGAATATTTCAATTAATTGATGATACAAATTTCATCTTAACACACCTTATTTAAAAATTTTGAAAAATTCAACATAATGGTTTAAAACGTCTAACGTAAACCTTTTCAAATGAAACTTCGATTTAAAAATATTTTCGAACCCTCTGGACAAGTAAAATAGGATGTAATGGATAATTTACACAACAGGTAGGACACTTAAACATCTAGTGCTTAGATAGAGATGTTATTTATTTTCTGGAGCTTTCAAGCCAGCAAGAGTGTTATTGTCCCTTTAAAACACAAAATCAGGTGTATTTCAACATTAATTGACTCTATCGATGGACTGAAGTGTTGATTTAATTCACTGTGAAGTGGGTATGACATCGGGATATGATATTTGAAAGTTCTATAAGGTAGGCCTATGCATGAGTTAATAACACAAACAAGTAGGATGAAATCTGTGTGAGTATAAATGTGTCCACCCTTAAATTAAAAGGAGGTGCAAAATCAAAAAAAAACAAAAAACATGCGAACATCTCATTTGAATCTGTTGCAGAAATAATATCTGTTGGTCGAGTACGGTGTTGGTTCGCTAAAAAGAGGTACAGGGTTCGATCCCGGTGTTTTCCGAAAAGATTCCTTGGAATTTTTCGGCATGTTTCCCCTTGTCAGTGGTGCACGATAAAGGGTCCGGCAATGAACAGTGTCTAGTCGTTTGAATGGGACGAAAAAGCCTACTCTTTTGCCGTGCATGTAAAAGGACCCTTGACAGCTTGAGTTTGATATAATATAGTACGTCCGTGACTGGTGGCGCATCTGTCCGGAAAAATTTCCCTCATGTCCGTCTTCATTAGGACATTAGTGTACGTTAAAATTGTTCAAAATATTTAAAGGAATTATACGAGGGTGGGGCGAAAGTTCTCGTAATATAGGCCTATCATTGGCAGAACGTTAAAGATTAGCTAGGACTTGAAATAAAAGTAGCAAAGATCCCCATTGGCGGGACAAACTTTTCTTCACAGCACACTGCATGACATCGTTATCCCGGTTGGTGCAGAAAAGTATAAAACGTTTTCATTTCACTTTCATCAATCATTAGAATCAGAGGGAGAAAACCAAGACACTCGGTGTTTTCTCTGTTACACACCGATTTTCACGTTATTCGTATTATGCGCCGACAATTAAAGATCAACGAGCAAAATACATGGAAAACTCAAACTGAATAAACTGCAAAATCCTTCGTTTCAATCCCAAACATTATATATTTACTAGTTTCGATATCACAAGTTTTATATTGTCTTTGTATTTTAGGTGGTGTTTTATTTGGAGTGTGGGGGGGGGGGCTTAGGGGAGCTATGAAAGTAATTTAAATGTCATCAGATGTTCCAGAAAGAGAAAGCTGGCAGCTGCTTCGATTATATTGCTGTGTTTACTTACCAATTAGACAAAATCATGCAAAATATCTTATGGATTACCGTACATTTTCTTTTACTAGATTCCAACATAATAATTGTTTTTAATTATACTGTTCTTAATTCTCTAGCTGTCTGCCCGGGATTAGAAAATATCACTTTATATGACTATAGGCCTACATTTTGTCAGAGAAAACCTCAAACAAAATTCAAATAATTTTGGTGAAATATTAGAAAAGGGTGCAAAATAATATTATTTGGTAAATTTTCAATACAACGCATAATAAATCACAGACAAAGCCAGAGTTAAATTTAGGTTGAAATTTAAGAAACTGGTTACGTATTTAGCATCTGTTTATATGATAACTTTACCACCACCAGCACATGAGATAAATACGTATTTACGTTCATTTCAGCGCGAGTCGCGTACCAGTGGTCGGCTGCTAATGCTTTCCAAGTTTGGCATCAATACGTCACACTTGTTTCTATTCTAACTGGGAAGTATTCAAAATGGCGTCATGACTGGATTAAATTCGACGCCGTCTTCGTTTGTAAGCGCTAAACTCGCGAAAGACACCACCCACAGCGGTAAGTAAACTCGATTAACGAATTCATTAATAATACATTTTTGTAATTTAATCATTATTTCAGTATAAATATTTAATTACAAGCCAGAATCGACCAGAATTTCGAGTTGATTTGAAACATTTGGTTTGTTGGTTGACTGAAAGGTCACGTGCTATAATAACACAACCATGCTTTGCTGTCGTCTGCTAATTTCAACACAGAAATATTTTATTTTACAAACTGCAAGAATTTGTTAATGGAATAGAATATTTGATAAGGGCATGCCAATATTTATCACTAATCTATGAATGAATGAAACCACGAGAGGGAGGGTTGTTATATAAAACGATAAACTATAACCTCAAAATATGACCCGAGAATGCATGACTCACGCGCTTGTGTTTACGATTCATACATTGTGTATGTATGTTGTGTATGGACTGGAGGAATATAGAACGAATATACAGCGGCTTGTTTATTGTAATCCTTCTTCGTTAGAAACAGGAGTGGATATTGTATTTAATATGAATTTTAGAACAGTGGTTTAGGTTGTGCAAAGGTATGCTTTTAGAAATGTTCTGTAGCTAAATCTTTTAGTCAATGGTTTTAAATTTCAAGTGAAGAAAATCGAAACATATTTATCCAACAAGATAGTGTTTATTAAATTAGATAGCAGTTATTTATTGCTTACTAATTGGGAATATGGTGCATTAAGTGACTTATTATTCACTGGATTTTAATTCATGGGGAAAAATGTCTGGATTAAGTTTGTTCAACAAATAGAGAATTTAAATGGGGTCCTATTCATTTGTTTTCTGATAGCTATGTGTGCATTGAACAAGAACACTGTTTGATTATTTGCTCCTTACTGTTTTAAAACATTCAACATCTGCATTTGTCAAGAAACTACGAAAATAGAATGTGCGTTGTAAAAGAAAATGTTTTTAAGTCTTTAGCAATGAGTCATGAGCAGTGTAATCAAAGGGACATAACTCTTTGATATGTTTTTTTTATAATATTTTATTTTATAAGCTTTTAGTAAGTTATACATGACATCATGACATAACAATTAGTTGATATTATGTGCTTGAAATTTGGCATGCAGTTTGCAATAGCAGTGTTTGCATTTTTTAAGATTTTTATATGAACTAAAGTTCTTGATTTGATGGCTTAATTTCCACATCTTCTTTAATACCAATTTTTTTTTTATGAACATGACATTTAGAACATTCTTGCATCTTTTTGTTCTGTGTAGAAAATGATGCAAATTGGAGTACTGGTAGCAAATTACCAACCAAGGCTTATAGGGACCAAGTTTGGGTTTAACTGGACCACATTATGTTGTTGACTTGCCTGAACATGATACGGTTGAAGACAAAAGTATTTAAAATATATATCCCAATTTTTTAGATTAATTATTTTGTTTCCTGTGATAATTAAGGCTTATTTCTATTCATCTTCATGTAGTTGGACTGTAAATATGTGGTGTGTTGTGTTTTTATATATCTGGGGATATTTAGACTGTTGTGTCATGAATAATTGTCTTGAAACAAGTATAGAATTTAAATGGTCAAATGATCAGCTGATGTGTGCACTTTTGATCATTAGGTCTGTCATTGATTCATGCATTGTGATTTTGTTCCCTGTCTGTTACAAGGAGTAGTGTCGCCTAGTTATCTGTGTGGGATGTTTCCTGTTGTGAAGATAATAGCTTGTCATAAAGGAAACAAACACATAATAAATGCCTTGATTCCGGCTGAGAAAGTTTCTCTGGATTTTTCAGTACCGGTATATAGTTTTGCCTTGTTAGTAGTGCAGTAGGAAGGAACACTATCAACACTATTTGAATGATACACATGCATAGCAAACTGCATGGATACATCTTCAATATACGACTGGCAGTATTTTTTTTTCTTTTACTTTGCATACCAGTTATATCTCATATCAACCTGTCATGATGTCACCATAGGTTGATATATTTGGTTCATATCAACCTCTGATGACGTTGACAAAATATTATGAAGAACACAGAAATCACTTTTTATACGCCCACATGGAAATGTGGTCGTATATTGCCGTCGTCCGTCATCTGTCGGTCGGTCCGTCCGTCTGTCGTCTACAATTTCTTGTGAACAATCTACAGACTACGTTTATCATCTGATTCTTTTGAAATTGATATATGTTGTTTGCATTAGTGAGATGAAGAAACCTGTTTAATTTCAATTACTTCCGTTTATTTCTTCTGGAGTTATGACCCTTGTTTCACTTTGTTGCACCTTGTGAACGCTCTAACGACAAAAGTTATCAACCGATCTATATGAAGCCTATTGAATTTCAGCAATTTCTGTTAATTACATCTAGAGTTATGGCCCTTGTTTCACTTTGTTGTATCTTGTGAATGCTCTATTGACAACAGTTATCATCCGATCTGTTTGAAATTGATATGCATCATTTGAATTAGTAAAACAAAGAAGTCTATTGAATTTCAGCAATTTCCGTTAATTACATCTAGAGTTATAGCCCTTGTTTCACTTTGTTGAATCTTGTGAATGCTCTAATGACAACAGTTATTATCCGATCTGTATGAAATTTATATGCATCATCTAAATTAGTAAAACAAACAAGCCTGTCTAATTTCTATAGATTACTTCCAGAGCTACGACTCTTGGTTTAGTTTTTAGAACCTTGTGAACCCTCAAACGACGAAAAATTATAATGTCATCTGTATGAAATTGTCTCTTAAATGCCCCTAATTATCTACAAAAGAATAAATATATACGACAACCGTTAGTTGCATTCAGCACTGAAACGGGTGTACCGGTACTTATCGTTATGTTTAGATCTGACTCTAAATTTCGTATTTTTTTGCATCAGTTGCATTGCTGGAACTCGACCCTCTTTCATGTGGCAAATCACATAAGTGGCACTTTTGCATACTCTAACACCTGAAAGATATGCACACAGTAACTGAGTAATTATAGGTTACAAAAGTTTATCAAAAATATCAGAAAAAAAAATCAGCTTACCCTCAATACTTCAATATGACTATAGGCTTATAAAAATATCTGAAGTAAACTTTCTACTTACCCTCAAGAAATTGATGACCAGTTCCTGATTATCCATGTCTAAAATATTTTTCAGAACTTCCTCTTAGTCCACATGTGGAATTATTTCTCCACACACTCCAAGACTTGACGGCTAAAAGACAATATTTCTGACAAAAGTGTCTCATCAGGGTGACAAAATAAATTGCTTTGATATTATATATATTAATAGTTCAGTATTTTGGTCATTAAAATTTATACTTTTTTCACTTCAGCAGCTGTTACAAATACACTTTTGTGAAACTTTTTAAGCATGGGTCACTATAGTTACGGACAATTACATGTAGTGTCTGTAACCTTTAAAAAGTGACAAAAATCAACTTCAAATTCAAATGGATAAAAATATTTTAGATTTTAAAATTGCACATTAGAAAATATAATATTACTGAAGATCACATCTTTATTGTAAGTTTACAGTGTTTTTCAAATACATGTCCATTGTGATTCTGAAAATTTGACAGAAACACATGGTTTTGTAATTTAGTCATAACTCCCTTAATACACTGTCTATTTGTGTAATTCAGCTACCAAAATTTATTATAGGAAATGTACTATAAGCATGCATTAATATCCTTTCCAAAAATACAATTTATTGAAGTGAGACAGTGTAACACCAAAAACTGGCTATTTTTAGGACATCATGTTTATTGCCGTAACTCAACAACGAAGATATATATTGACTTGAAATTTGGTGGTCCTTAGGAGAGGTCATTATTACAAATGTTGAATATAAGAGATTGACTTGGAATTCTGAAAGTTGTTTCCAAACTGTATACATGTATAACATCAAAAAATTGAACACATTGCCTTTTGATTCAAATTTTCTTTGCCTTCAATTTGTTGGCTAAAAGGGATTAATTCTCCGTCTGATAACCTATTACTATCCATTTTATTTTTGCTTTCAATTTAAATGAACCAAAAGTTACTCTCTAAAATGGTGGTGACAAGGTAGTTTGAAAGAAACCTGCATGTGCATTCACATGATTAAGTTTGGTAATTTTTCGTTATTTGGCAGAAATTGAGATATTAGCCAATCATTGTTGACTTCGAATGGAAGAATCCATTTAGTTTAAGGACGATTCAGACTAATACATTGTATATGTCAGATATAAACCTTCTCCCCCTTGGATTCATATGATAGAGAACACTTGGGCTTCACCCACTTGTTCTCAAACATATCAACCTGGGATAGGTTTATATCCTATACTTAGTCTGGATGCTGCAGAACAGTAGGATGTTCAACCCTATTTCAATTCAATTCAAATTCCATTTGGCAGGAATTTGTATGAAATCGAGACTCAAATAATCAGTTACATGTATAAATTGACATGGCAAATGAGATCACCAGCGTAGTTAAAATACATGTACTATTGATGACATCAATTTTAGAGTGCTGTGATTTGAGTCTGCCAGAAGCTTATTTTCACATTGACAATTCTATCACCCTGTTGAGTTAAACGTATATATTATAAAATGTAACAGACTTTATAATAAATAATTGAATAAATAGTTGTTCTGACATTTTAACTGACATTTTCAGTGTAATATATCAAATGTTATAAAAGAGTGGACTAGAATGTCATACCTAATGTAATGCTAGAGTGAAATAATTTTAAATTCTACGATAAACAACTCATAAATTAAGAGCTGATATGCGATAGCTGGGCAAATTTGTCTTTAAATTTTCTCATGTCAAATTTAAAAGATGGATTACCAGGCAACAAAGCTAAATCGTCTGAGCGGTTGAGCAGGGTTGTTGCATATCTATTCTTTTGTAGGTAATGGGGTTCATTTACAAGACAATTTCATACAGATCAGATTATAATTTCCATTGTTTGAGGGTTCACAATAGCAGGGTCTACAAACTGAAACAAGGTCCTTGATTCTAGAAGTAATTGAATAGTTGAATAGTTGCGC